GACTCATCCCAAACTGATGAGGACGGAGGCCCGACTCCAGGTGTGGGCATTCTACATCAGACACGGGCTGCTCGCGCGGCTTTCCAGCGGCGGCTACAGACCGAAGGGGAAGGGAGGCCATGGCTCTGGGGTGCGGGCGCAGGGCTTCCTCCGGCTCGCCGCTCCAGGGTGCGGACGCGGCCTCCAGGTGCGGGGAGGCTGCGTCGCCCTCCCGTGGGTCGACGTGCGCGCGCGGGGTGGCGGCGGTGACACCCTGCCATGGCTCACCAGCGGCCTCCGCCTGCCGGTCCCAATGTTCGTCCGTAGGTCCCGTCTTTGCCCGGCTGTAGGTCGTCTTCTTCCTCTGGGCACCCAGCTGCGTGGCTGCAAGGCCACGCACAGATAGCCCCACGCCTTGCGGATATCTTGCTCAGCACACCGCACTCAGGACACCTCATGGACACCGGATCTCTTGAATCGATCAATATGGAAGAGCAAAGGTGGTTTCAGCAAACTCTAACCCTTCCGTATTGCTCTTTTGCTGCCAGAGTGAGTGCATTTTTTATGGTTTGAGTTGGATAAGCTAACCGCATATTCCTTGCTGTGGTTTGTAGGCCAAATCACAGGGGTATACGGCTTGTTGTTAGAATTCGATCTTTTTTCAGCTTGCCAGACAATGCTCCAAAATCATGGCAGTAGGGTAAAACTTTGCCAACTAAATTTGTTGATTGACATACATAGCGTGGGGCTCCAAAGCTATGGGAAGAATATGTGGGCAGCTGCCAAAAGCTTCACAGCTGACAAGTTTAACTTCTTCATGCGGAACATAGAAGAGAAGGATCCTAAGACACTTGAATGGTTGGATGAGAACCACTTATTGCATGCTCTGCTCATAGCTAATTTTGAAATCATGTTTCTTCTCTTTTTAGTGCAAGTGCTACTGGGAGGGGAAGGGGAAGGGGAAGAGGAAGGGGAAGGGGAAGAGAAAGAGGAAGAGAATCAGGAGAGGGCAACCGTGAGCCAATGTAAGTTATGGTTGTATTGGTGTATTTAATTGTTGACGTAATCATTACTAACCAACCTGGTCAATGCTTTTCAGAGGGAGTGGAAGAGGAGGGTGAACGGGAGGAAGGCTAGCTAGTTTGTTAGGTCTCTAGGTGGTCCTTGAATGAGATGCCTATAGCTTTTGTGCACATGTTTACATGGTGCAGACTTGTTGCTTTTGTGGACATATTGACGCAGATCGGTTGTTTTTGTGGATATGGTGACATGGTGTAGACTTATAGCTTTTGTGGACATGTTGACATGCTATATGTGAGACTTTGAAATGTTGGTTCTCCATGATTTTTCTCATATGTTATATATGTGCTTCATATTGTTGTCATGATACTAGCAAAATATTGCAAAGGTGCTACCAAAATTTTGAATATTTTTAAATATTAAATCTAAGTTAAAATCATTGCACGTTGTGCAAAATATATTTGGCCAAATTTATTCATTTGTGTCAGCATACAATAAAAAATTCTAATTCTAAATCAGGGGTAAAATCACAAATATGCATAACAAGCAGGGGCAAAATCACATGGGCATTTCTGTCCTTTTGTACAAAATTTAACACCGTTAGGGGACGATGACAGAGTAGGGGCAAACTTGTTCTTCGTTTAGAAATCACAGGGGTAAATTCGCAAAGTCAAAAAAACAGGGGTAAAATCATAATTTTGATACAAAACAGGGGTAAAAACTCAAGAACCCCTTTTTTCCCTATATTCATTAAAAAAGATGATTGAGAGGCAAACAAGAACTCAAGCAAATCCCTTTTTTAATTCGCTTTCCATAATCATTTTTCTCAATTGAGATCTTTTCCCTGGTCCCAAAGAAATGATAGAGCAACTCATTCCCTTTCTCTCTCCACGTTGAGACACACAACGACACTCGCAACCTATGCCACTGCTCCTCGGGCCGCCTGTGATTGTGTGCCGCTCCAAGCAGTTGTGCCACCATCGCCGCTTTGGTTGTTGCCCTCGTGTCGAGTACCAACGAGCCACCGCCCCCACCACCGTCGCTACTACGAGGCGCCACCCTAGTGCCACAACCCACACAGTCGAAAGCCCAGTAGGCCATAGAACCTGATCCGAGATCCATCTCTACCACATCCTTCCTCATTGAGCCACTCATTTGCTCATTATGACCACCTCTGCGATTTGGAGATGACTAGTAGAAGCAATATTGACATCTAGATGCCCATATGCTTACTTAGACAATTACCTTGGTATAGAAGTGATTACAATTTTATGCACATGAGAATCAAGTTTCTTAATGACAGATAAGAGATTTAGTTAACCTGTAATGATCATGCCTAGGTGAACTAGCCGAGGTTCATTCCTAGGCTTTCTGAGAGTGGATCGAGCCATGGTTTGCTAACAAGTTTGTTTCTAGAGGTTGCTAGGAAGGTCTAGAGTACATCTAATAAGGTACATTGGGTTAATATAGCCTAGTGAAACTCTAGGTCATCCATGGCTAACCTACCAAGGTTTGAATTTGAATGAGTTCTTCTAGAGTTTAGGTTAGGTCTAAGGTCAAGATTGGCTTATCCACTATCTTGTTGAGCATAAAAAATGTGCAAGTTGATGTAGAGTGTTGTCGTTGAAGATTTTCTTTGATCTTTCCCTTCTTTGTCCAATAACTAGAGAATGGAGCTTTGGGAAACCTTTCCCTAACCAAGGTGATGAGAAGACACTGCTCATGGGATTCTCCTTTTCACTTTTTCCCTTCTTATTGCCTTTCTTCTTTCCTGATCCGAGTGGCCAGGCTGGCCATGGTGTGTTGATGATTCAAGCAAGAAGGAAACCCCTCTCTAGGAGACACTAAAAAGTGTACTCCCTATGTTCCTAAATATATGTCGTTTTTGCTTCCCGAGAAATATTTTTTACTAAATATATATTAAAAAATATTAATATTTATGGTACATAATTAGTATCATTAGAAAGATATTTGAATCTAGTTTTTAATAAATTTATTTAGAGATACAAATATTGCACATATTTTTTACAAATCGAGTCAAACTTGTGGCATGCTCACCAACGTCGATAGCTATTTAGGGACGAAGGGAGTAGATGTTAATAGATAGTTCATAGTTCAAACAAATGATTGATAAAAGGCATCGTTTTTAATTATCGAGGCAGTGAGAACCCCTAGTTTTACTCTGAAAAAATACCGTAGCGGTAAGCCCCCTAAAATAATGAGTTATTAAGGGCAGCAACAACACATGCTACTAAAGCCATATGCTTGAGCTAAAAGGTATATGTCAATGCCATTTAGGCATCCATCAGTTTAGATTACAAGTCTCTCGAGGTGTTGTTCTTTGGTAAAAGTAACTTTAGCTTTTGTCAGAGTTTTTTTACTGCCCTTGCTCACAAATCGTGGAAGCGCGTGATGAGGCTGTTGTTGCTTTGGTCACAACGCGAATTCAGTTGGTGCCTCGTTCTTTTGTCAGGCGAAGCAACTGCAGTTCTGTAGGCTAATACAAACGTCTGCGAAACCAGATATGGAGTCTCTGTGCGGACGTGGAGGCTGGGGGCTAAAGGCTTCTTCAACGCAGGCCACGACGCATCTAAAGATATGATTTGGTGTGACCACGGCGTGGCCTCAGGGTGGTCACGTCGTCGGTTTTTCACGGCCGTTCGATCGGCCGCGCGGACGGCCCAGATCGGACGAGCCGCGGTCGTTTTACGAAAAACCCCTTTAATTTTTCGGAAATCAACCCGCGCTCTAGACGTCCTCTCAGAATTTTTTACAAAAAACGTCTCGTATTATTTCCAAATCAACGCTCAGTCCAGACCGGATGGGCACTGGTTTGTTTGCAAAAAAGACCTCCACTTTATCGAAAATCAACTCGCGCTCCCCAGACACTCTCACCGTTTTTTGCGAAAACATCCTCAGATTTTTCTCAAATCAAAATACAACCCAACTTTGATTATATTTTTTTTTCCTCCAAAAAATACGTGTGGCCAGTGGACCGCGCGCATGGGCGCGCCCGAAAAACAGTGTATACCTCACGCTAAAAGCCTCGGCCACATAGACATCAATGATTTGGGCTGCTAGAACTCTCAACGTGGGCTGTAGATGGCGTGCTTCCTCACCGGGCCCAGAATGTGCGTCATCTCCATCTCTGCGTAGGTCCGTCGCTCAATGGCTCCGTGCCGCTCCATCTCCGCAACGCGTGCCGGATCGTTGCTTGCAGCTTTTGTCAGGTGAGACCATCGACTCCTCTGCAGGAGTCTCTGCCAACCTGCAAGGCCACCATCTGCTATGACATGAAGGCTGGGTGAAGACGTGGAGGCGGGGGCAACACGCCACCGTGGAGCGTTGGTGAAGCCCTAACAACCAACTCGAGGCGTTGGGCTGCTAGCATAATGTTCTAAATACTGCTATAGCTTTTGTGAGAACTGCTATGATATTCCAACTATAAGACGTTCCAAATTATATATATATATATATATATATAATATTTTATTTTTTTTACATACATTACTTTTATTATATCTCTTTACATGGTATATATTTTAGTGCATAATAAAAATTTTGTATCTAGAAAAATCAAAACGTCTTATAATTTATAACGAAGGAGTAGGCAATTTGTGAATATATACTATGCCAAGTTTTAATATAATAAATCTCATTTACACCTTATTAGGAAAAAAAGAAGGATGAATTACAAAATTTACATTTACATACATCAATCAATCAATTTAAAAGAAACAGGAACCTGGGCCGCCACGTCATCCCGCTGAGCCAATCCAGCAACCTTCCGTGACCCCGACTCGACTCGCCTCCGCCGCATCCGACCCGACCCAACCCCGCTCCGATCTCCTCCGCCGCCGCGTCGGCGGCGACCCCCCCTTCCCGCGAGCGCCCCTTCACCGCTGCTGTTGATACGCCACCGGAGCGTTTCCTTCCTCCCTTCCTTCCCTCGTCGCTCTCCCCATCGCCGCAGGGCGCCACCGCGGCGGAAGGCGCGATCCATGGACCGGTCGATCAACTTCCGCGGCATCGCCGGGAGCGCCGGCAACATCATGCAGGTTCGCGCGCCCGACTCACTCACGCTCCTTATCCGAACCCCGCCCGAGGGACGACCGCCCCCCGCTGCGGCGCGGTCGCGGGGGCGAGTTGCTACCATGATGGGCATCACCAATTTTGAGTTCTGGGTGTTATGTCGTAGTGGAAATCAAGCTCGAGATGCTAGTGGCTGGTCAATTCTGTCTGATGCTTACTCACCTCCCGTTTGTGTTGTTGTGTGTCTTCGTAGGGAATGGGGAAATTCGTTTTCGGCAACGAGGGGATCGAGTCAAAGGAAGATAGGTAGGCTCAGTTGCAAATTTCATGTTTGGTTTTTACTTCAATCGCAGACTCGCTGCAATGCTGTCTGCTCTTACCAAGCAAAAGTAGCAATTGATTTATGTACATCACCTATATCAGTTAATCCTACCATTGTGCCCCTTGGATGCAGCTACGTCGAGAGATATCTTGACCGGATAAGCAATGGCACGATACCTGATGACCGGAGGTCTGCCATGACCGAGCTGCAGTCTCTCGTGGCAGAAAGCCGCTCGGCACAGATGTCGTTTGGAGCAATGGGTATCTCCTTTCTCTCCGTGCTCTGATATTTGTTCCCTAGCTGCTCTGGCGAGACTGGTGCATAGTTACATTTGTTTCCTTTCTAATTTGCAAAAATAGGTTTTCCTATCCTCCTCAATATTTTGAAAGAAGACCGCGAGGATGTAGAGCTTGTGAGAGGTGCCCTGGAGACCTTTGTGAGCGCATTGACTCCTATTGAGACGTCACAAGGGCCAAAGACTGAGGTTCAACCAGCATCGGTGAACTCTGATCTGCTGTCTCGAGAAACGGAGAATATTTCTCTTCTTTTGAGCTTATTGGTGAGTGCACATCTTTTGCCTTAACAGCATGTAACTTGCATCGCCTGCTTCACGTGTCCTGAGTCCTGGCTTATCGCTCCTGTTTGGTTTGAAGTCAGAGGAAGACTTTTATGTGAGATACTACACAATCCAGCTTCTAACAGCTCTACTTACAAACTCGCTGAAAAGGTGCCCAGTAAGTCATTTTTGTCCTGTTGAGATGCCATGACAACATTAGAATCCCATATAAGTGCTTTTTATTTTCTTTTTTCAGGTTACAGGAAGCGATTCTATTGATCCCTCGTGGTATAACAGTTCTAATGGACATGCTTATGGATCGTGAGGTCTCAACATTCTCTGCCTATTTTCTCACTCCCTTAGGAAGAACATATGCCACTCATGACATTCTAATCATTTTATGCTTTTATTTATTGTTTGCCCTTGTATGTGTTAGGACAGTCTAATGTTTGTGGGAAGCTTGTATGCTAATTTATATGAACATCACTTGCGTTTTCAGACTAGAATGGTTTCCGAAATCAATGTTATGCAATCAATTTAGTCTGGGTTGTTATATATACTTTTCTGAAGGATTCACTACATGTCTACTCAGACATTCCACTTATACTGAACACCTAATTCTACCATAGACTCTATTATAGTATTTTCAAAGATGCCTATTTTGTTCCATATTTTGATCCAAGTTTTTTTTAAATGATATATCATGAGTTCGCGACCAATCCTTATGGTATCTTATTACTCATGTAGTTGCCTATTTTTGTTATACCTTGCAGGTCATAAGGAATGAAGCACTGTTACTTCTTACTTATTTGACTCGGGATGCAGAGGTTAAACCTGTCTAATACTAGATGCTGATTTGTTATGTTACTGGCATTTTTTCAACACTCCTTTTTATAACTAAATTGACTTTAATTCTCTTAATTCCAGGAAATTCAAAAAATTGTTGTATTTGAGGGTGTGTTTGAGAAGATATTTAGCATTATCAGAGAGGAGGGCCATTCTGATGGAGGTGTAGTTGTTCAGGTGAAAAATTGCTTATTGGTGTTCTTTATCTGAAATTGGCTTCTAATTTTTTTTTTCCAGTTTCCATATAAAGGTTTTAGGTATATTAAATGTAGTTGGTGCTAATATGTTGCTTATTTGAGCAGGATTGCCTTGAACTGCTAAATAATTTAATTCGACACAATGCGTCAAATCAGGTTCATCATTCTTCCAAAACCTTTCTGAATCTGAAAGTTTTAATTTGTCAGATTTTTCATTGATGCCACTTTTTTACTTTGTTCCATCAATCAGATGCTTTTGAAAGAGACAATGGGCTTTGACCCATTGATATCAATACTAAAGATTAGGAGAGGCAGTGCATTTAATTTTACCCAACAGAAGGTATTATGTTCATCAGTCCAGCTTCTGTTCTTGATGATAAATTCTTGGAATATCTGTCTTTAGTTTGGATTAGCAACATTTTACTCAAGCTATAAACTGTGTCTTCTTTAGACAGTAAATCTCCTCGGCGCTTTAAATACTGTGGAATTGCTTTTGATGGGGGGCCCATCCGGTGAAGCAGGTAAAGATGCTAACAAGAACGCAAATCAAACTGCACTGGCTCAGGTATCCTTTTCTCCCTTCAAACTCTTTAAGTGACATCCATATGACATGGAACTGAGCTTCATATGTGTTCCCCTTATTGATAGAAAAAAATTCTGGACCATCTTCTTTTGTTGGGCGTTGAGAGTCAGTGGGCCCCTGTCGCTCTCCGCTGTATGGTAATTCCCTTAGCACTGTCTGCTCCCTTGTCTCCTGCATTTTCCCTTTTCAACCGGTGAATGATGCTATCTTGTTTGGCACTGGCCATAATTTTTTTCCAGGCACTGCGATGTATTGGCAATTTGGTGTTAAGAAATCCTCAGAATCTTGATTCTCTTGCAAGAAAGCAAGTCGGAGAAGAGCCTCATGTTCAACCTGCACTGAATGCCATCTTCTCTATAATCTTGCGGACCTCTATAGCGCAGGAATTTGTTGCTGCTGATTATGTATTCAAGTGTTTCTGCGAGGTGGCTATTCTTCTGTTGTGCTCGCTTCTTTAATTATGTCTAAACTAGCAAGCACTAAGAAGGCAAGGAGTGACTGTAGTAGATGCTTATATTTGTGTATTATCATCCGGATCACAAAGAGTCATATTTCTTTAGCACATTTGTACTCTGATCTGAAAATAAAAGATGAAAAAAAGGAATGGAAACCCTAGCATAAAATTAGGTAGCATTACATACAATGATACAAACTGAAATAGAACTAACTTTACTGCTCAAATGGAAAACTTTTGGTTTCTAATAATTCAAGAATACTTGTTCAATGTTCTAATAATTTGTGCTTCTAAAGTCTTTACATGTAATTGTTGGTTAGTATTGGTTTTAAACTATTATGCTTTCTTGTTTTTTTCCTTAATAAAGCACATAACAATCTTTGGTTTGCCATTTGTGAAACAGAGAAATCCTAATGGCCAGGCATTATTAGCATCAACTATTGCTCCACATCCGAACCAAGGAGATACGCATGGACCTGCTAGTGACATGCCTTTTGGAAGGTTGGTTTGTTGGTTGTACATAAGTTATATCTTACATTAAAGGACATTAACCTTCACTGCCTTTTGCTTTGTTTATAAATTACTGCTTGAGCCAAGTCAAATTAACATATATCTTCACCATTATATAATTTTGGCCATCCCACTCTGGCATTTCTTTTGTTGCTTCTGCCAAACCCATGTGATTTGTTGTAGTATCATTTTCATCATGAACCATTCACAATTGACATACATTGTCTTTTAATGACAGTGTACTTCTGCAAGCTCTGGTTTCAAGTGATGTCAATGCAGATATGGAGGTGAAGTCTTATAAAAACCTAAAGCTCCAGTTTACAGGATATTCAAGTGGTCTCTATGTAGCTGTGTTTAATCAATTGTTCTGACATTTCAACCAAAATTACACAGGCATGTTGCAGAGCATCTAGCGTTCTTTCTCACATTATCAAGGACAACTTATGAAGCAAGGATCGTGTATGCACCCGTCAACCTTTCATTCTACCTGTGTATAAACTTAAGTAGCAAACCAAGTACCCTATTGCTAAGGTTTGACTATTTTTTAGATGATGGAACAAAATGTTATTCCAACTCCAACCGAGATCCAGGATTCATATGGCGAATAATTATTACAATTTTTGGAGCACATGATAGAACATAACCCTAACACATGCCTTACATCACCATTCACCACTGATAACATGGCCAAAATATTAAGCAGTGTAAATCTAATTATTAACTGACTCTTATATTCTATTTTGAAAATAAAATAAAATGGATATTGAGCTGCGTTGACACATGGCCTTTTTCTTACTTAGTGTTGTTGCTAGAACTAATTATATGCTTCCTCGCTTGTGATGGGAGTATCTGAGCTTGGCTGGTTATTATGTTGTTATGATTCTTCTTGATCCTAAAGTAATTAATATTTAGTCATGTTATTTTTCTTATACCCTTAAAATTTGGGGCTTTAGTGCCTGTTTATGCCAATTCTTTGACTTCTATAAGGCATGATTCAGTAGCGTGTCTCATATGTATATTTGTTTTATACCCCTTGTACAACTTAAGACAGAAGGTTGTTTCACAAGTCACAACTGATGTTTTTTCAGGTATTGCAAATTCAGCTTGAGACACCTACACCATCCTTGGGGCGCACTGAACCGGTATTGCATCGTATTGTCACGTGTTTGTCCATTGCAGCTTCAACAGATGGAGAAAACGACCAAAACAACCAACCAGAAGAACCGTACATTCAACCTGTTATTCTTCGGCTACTCATCATATGGCTTGTTGATTGTTCAAATGCTGTCAACTGCCTTTTGGAATCAGCAGTGCATCTGAACTACATAATAGAGCTTGCTTCAAGTAAACGTTACACTGCTTGTGTTCGTGGACTTGCTGCTGTTGTTCTAGGTGCTTGCATCCTGTACAATGCTAGCCGTGAGAAGGGTCGTGATGCCTTTGCTGTTGCAGATGCTATAAGTCAAAAGATTGGCCTCACAACATACTTCTTGAGGTTTGATGAATTGAGGAAAAGCTTGGCACATCCGTTGTCAGAGCAGCATCACCGCATGGAGCTTTCCAGATCAAGTGCGAATAGCATGTCAGATTTCCAAGAGATTGAAGAGGATGAAACAAATAAAGACGACCAACACCCTGTCCTCTCAGAAATATTTGATTCACAGTTTGTTAATTTTCTTAGTAAGCTTGAGGCTGATATTAGAGAAAACATAATGGATATATTTAGTCGGACAAAAACTGCAACTGCAGTCCTTCCTACTGAATTGGAGCAGAAGAACGGGGAGGTCGATGGAGAGTATATCAAGCGACTAAAGTCATTTGTAGAGAAACAGTGCAATGAGATGCAGGTAGGTTTCCATCTGTTGCCTTCAGAGAATTTTCCTGTTGAATTACTTCAAAAATTCAAAGCTAAAAATTGATGTTTTGTGCATTGCCATGAAAAAAATGACAGTACTATTTTGGGACACCTGACAATAGTTTAAATTTCATTAACACCATTTTCTTAATCCAAAAGACTAAGTAGTTGGCAAACATGAAGGGTCTCTTGGCATGGTCTCGTCAGAAAGTGATTCTTATTTCTTAAATTAGGTTATTCTCTATGTTCTATGCCTTAGTGTTAATAAAACTTTATATATTTCTCATTAGTTGGAGCTTGCTCCTTAAGACACCACCTTCTTGAATGAAGGGTCTCTTGACATGATCAACCATGTTTTATTAACCAAAAACAAGCTGATTCATGCAAACTCAGACATTCGAAAAGTTCCTTTAGATAACATGGTTATCTTAAAGTTAACTTGTGAAATGTTGTGCAAGTGGCCATACATAATTGTTTCTAGATTGATGGGTTCGTTGCTGGGTGCCTGTTGTTGCCAGTGTTTTTCATACACTGTTGTACCTGAAATTATAAGAAGCTGACACTGATATTTATAATGGCATCTGTCAGGACTTACTGGCTCGAAATGCAATGTTAGCAGAAGAGTTAGTGAGAACTGGTGCTGGTACCACTACAGATACTTCACAGAAACCGAGCAGTGGCCGAGAAAGGGTCCAGATTGAAGCCCTCAGACAAGAACTGGAGGGAGCGAAACGACAGATAGAGGCACTAAAAGCTGAAAAGTCCCAGATTGAAGCTGAAGCTAACAACCAAAGAAACCTTTCAGTAAAACTGGAGTCTGATCTCAAGAGCTTGTCAGAAGCTTACAACAGCATAGAGCAGGCCAACTACTGCTTGGATGCCGAGGTAAAAACCTTGCGGCAGGGAGGCAGCGTGCCGTATCCTGACGTGGAAGCAATAAAAGCGCAAGCCAAGGAAGAGGCTGAGAAGGACAGTGAGGCGGAACTGAATGATCTACTTGTCTGCCTCGGCCAGGAACAAACTAAGGTTGAGAAGCTGAGCACAAGGCTGGCAGAGCTCGGAGAAGATGTGGATACCCTTCTGCAAGGTATTGGCGATGACACTGCCATTCAGGATGATGACGATGACGATGAAGATGAAGAAGAGTAATATGTTTATGTAACCCTTTAGGTCTGCTGGTGTAACCCGCCCTCATGTTGGGTCATGATGTTGTGATGGCAATTGCCAAATGTACAGTGGATAATGTGTAGACAAAGGCACCATTCCAAATTAAGTTATTTGTGGAGAATGGAACTAAGTAGTTGACTCACGCTCTTGTTGAATTTGATTCTCCGAATAAAATTTTATATTACCTTTGATAATTAACTTAATTTTATATTATGGTTAATTGTTTAGTACAGTTTTGTGCATAAAAGCACTTAACAATGCAACATTCTTTTCAGCTTTGCAGACGTACTAAACTTGAATTTAGATAGTAGGAAATTAAGAATAACAGTTTGTCGTTTTGATGTAAAAATCAATGCTAATTGAAACTTCGAGAAAGGAAGGTGCCAACTTTCAGGTAAGTATAACCATGTCCCCGCAAATTACAGATCAATATCTACACATATAGCACGGTTCAATCCGTTAGCTATTTATAGTTTTATCACGTCCCACAAATTACAGATCTAACATGGTAGCATATCAAAACCTGTTGGTCACATAAACGCTCACCACGGAATCATTTACATGGGGGTGTCACAAGCTTGCAACAATTGCTGTCCCGAAATGTAGAAATGTGACCACTACAATCTATAGAGGTTGTTTGGTGGGTGTTCCTGATCTTCCCTCTAGTATTTGCAGCCTCTGCTTGAGATGGAACACTTCAACCTGGAAAAGGCCATGGTGAGCTACTGATAGGTAAATTTGTTTGAGTTGCGTGACAAAAACATTTTGGCACAGTTTAACTTCTCAATGTATGAGTCAAATATGTCTCAAATGTAGTACCTGGAGCTGGAACGCGCGTGACTGTTCTCCTGCTAAAACTCTACGAGTGGAATGCAGCTCCTGCATGAACAAAACCAACTCAGTACAGAACACATCAGGATCACCAAACATTACTAGTAAACATCAAGTTTCCTTGCCTTCTGGGTTTCATCTGTGACGGCCTTCAGGAACGCCACTTCACGCTCGAGGCGCACATTATCAGCGTGGACCGTGTTCGAGAGGCTGTTCGACTCCTCATGCGCCAGCTCTAAGCATGCTATCTTCTCTTTCAGCATCTCAGCCTCCTTATCTTTGTTGGCAAGCATCTTCTCCAGCTGTTCTCTGCTGTGAATGACCGATGATAAGCTCTTCTCTAGCTGGTCTTTGCTTGCCAGCGCGGTCGAAAGCTTGTCTTCGAGCGTGGTGTTTCTTCTGATTAAGTCTGCTATTTTTGTGTTGTATAAGTGGCTCTGGCTAACATCTGAAGAGCATCTAGCTATCCTTCTTACATTGTCATTCTGAGTACCAGGTCCTGTCCTTTTGCTCCGATTCCCTTTTGGCTGTAAGAAACAATCTGTTATGCAGAGAAACAAATATGTCCATTTGCTCGTAGCTGTTCACTAAATGAAGAATAATACTTGTAGGTGCAATACTCACAGTGCTATCTTGACATGAAGAGTCGTCATCGACGTCATCGTATCTGTCATCATCGATTGGTTTCTGCAATTTCTGACCTAGGCTGCACTCTTCTACTTGATCCAACTGCCCATGGAGTGAAGTGCCCAAACTGGACTGCTTCAACAATGACTCAGAGAGGGGTTCCCTTCTAGGAGGGTGTTCTATCACAGAAGTGAGACTATGCCTTGTGATGGAACTGTTAGAGTACAAGGGGGCACATTTGTTGAGATGATCAGCAAGCTCCTTATTGCTTGGAGAGTACTCGTACAGCACACGGTCCACTTCTGGGGCCGAACGCCAACTAAAAGAATGCTCATTTTGCAGTACCACTAATACTTCAACCTGCACAAGGTCACATGGTCAATGATACAATCCAAGTTGATATGAAAGCTTCAAACTTCAAAACCATTTTTAGTTGACTTCACATGAGGTAGTAAGTGGAAAACATACATCATAAATGTGCCAGACAATGATGACAAATTGTGTTTTAAGAGCCTTAAGATCATGAGAAGCCACACTATATATATTTTTTGGATCAAAATGACAACCAGTTCTTTAACAGTCACTAAAAATATGCTCTTTAGTAGAAACCGATTGCTTCACCTTGTTGGACGGCTCTTTTTTGTTCCCTCCAAATGCAATAAGTGCAATCTTGTCTCTGTGGTAGAAAGGAACCATGCTGAAACCCTGCATCAGTAGTTGTTTTAGTTTTCTGTCTAATTAGACGAGTGATGTAAAATGGAAAGTAGTGAGCACGAGATACTATCAAACTAAATAAGAGAGTCAGAAAGAAAATTACTTACTTTTTTCTAGTAATTGATGAACTAGGGGTACTACACAAACAGACCACTTAGATTGTAGAACATCAAAACCCAGGTTTCCGCATGTCCTGAGAATTTGATTTCTTGTTAGAAATTGCCAAAGAAGATAGATGGTCATCATTAGCAATACATGTATTCTTAATTAAGAAATAAAACCACCAACTCATCTTCCAAATTGAGAGCTTGAGACATACTTTTTTTCGTGCTTGCACCCCCAGCTATGTACCACTTAGTTCCACACAGAGTTCCGCTGCAACCAGCTCGAGGTGATGGGTGAGGACCATGAGTCTTCACTCTTGACCATACCATCTGTCAGGAAGATAACACTAATAAGTAGCCTGCTAAATGCAAAACGTACTGAGGTATACTGAACCAAGGATGCTCACAAACTTACTGTATCAAAATCTAAGGAATACAAGTCATTAAGTGTCTTGGATTTTGAGTGGCCTCCAAAATTAGAAGGATCCTATCATCATACAGTGTAGCGACATGATTGGATCTTGGAGAAGGTCCAGTGCCTCTACAACATTGAGCTTTAATCAGTAACAAAAAAAACACAAATTAAATTGAACCTCAATTTAAAAAATCAGTTGCACTTATATGAGAAATGTTAAGAAGTTGGGACAACCATACATCAGTAGCAAAAATGTAGTATCCAAAAATCAATTATGACTTACTTATAGTTCAATGGAAGCCATGTTGATGACTTCAGATCAAACATGTGAAGGTCATGCCGTTTCTTTCCTTTTGTGTCCTCACCGCCAAAAAGTATCAATGTAGCACCAGCTCTAATCACCGTGTGGCCACTTCGAGCTGCCTTAACTCAGCACCAGAGGATAATTTAGTCAATTTTCACATGAATATTTGCCAAAGCATAACTCTTAATATCAGATAGCTTACAGGGATATCACCCTTGGCTTCAATAAGTGACCAAAGCTCCGTTTCGGTATTGAAAGTCCATACTGTACCAGAAATGGAATGGTTAATCATTGTCTGGTTGAGGAAGACATGACCTAATTTGCAAATGTTTTGGAGAATCACATAGCATCTGCAAACCTGATAAACGATCAGAAGCAGGCTCAGTTTTACCTCCGACAAGAATGACACTATTTCCCCATGGAACCTGCACGTCACACATGTATAAATGTTTTTCCAGCATTAAAGGAGTGCATACAAAGATGCATCATCGAGAACAATCCTTGTCTTCTTTGAATAATAGATCAACTTATACTTCATTGAGTTTCGGATGATGTCAAAGTGCAAATAGGTCAAACATAGTGTTCAGCGTACAATTTTCCACAAAAGTATAAGTCGGCTTCAAGTAAGAAAATATTGACCGATAATGTGAAACGCATACCAAAACATCCAAGGACAAGTAGCAATTTAACTGAAAAAGGTGTAACAGTGAATTTTCTTATTTAAAGAATGATCATATCAGTAACTAGGTTTTGAGAACCATTAGATAGCAGTGATTTACAAGAGCTATACCAGACAATGACCTTTGCAGGCTGGCAACTTCATTGAACGTCCGCTTGGCGATGGGCAAACTTTAGGAGGCGCAGAATCCCAAGTAAGATTCTCTAAATTCAGTATCTAATTAATACAATAAGTGAAGTCATAAGATTATTTGATAATAACATGGTACCACCCAGTGTAGAGTTCATACATCCAAACAGCACACATAAGAAAAAAGAAGATCCAAATTCAACTACCTTTGTGTCATTTAATAAGCGTTGACCAGAATCACCACCAAACACTACCATCTTGCTACTTACAATGGCTGCTGCATGCTGTTCGATCAAAGTTGAATATGTGTTAAGTAAATACGTATTTTTTTTCAAGATATATGAACTTAGTTCTATTTATTATATTTTCAGTGGCTTACATAGAAACGAGGAATAGGTTTATCTCCCTCTGTGGACAGCACAGTCCAATTTTCTGAAATATTGAAAGTGCGTCCGTCAGGATCAAAGGCATCGGACGAGCAGCGGTAGGAAAGATCATCTGCGCGGCCACTCACTGATGTCATAACTGCGTCATACCCCTGAAAATAAAAAGAAAAATCCAAGAGCTAAACCATCCAGTTGTGGCCAAAATACAACAAGGTCAATACTAGATGCAATTTCTTCAGTCACAGGCTCACATTGGGCAGACTGAGGTGTTTACTGGGGACAACAGGACTCCTAGAGCTGTTCAAAGGATCACTTGGGTCACCCTTCGACCTGAAAAAGAAAAGCAAAAGACTCAAGATGAAGTATAAAGCAGTCAAAGAAAATGTGGAAATAGGACTGGTTGGCATCAAAATTTAACCAGGAAATGTTGACTTTAATTGAATGCAATGTTAACTGAGCTTCATGAAGCTGTACGTATGACTTCATCAATTTACATTGTATCCCATCAATTTTTACCAACAGCACTACTGTGACCATAGAAGTTTGGTAGTCAGTAAAATGAAAAAAATTCTCTGAAGAAAATCTCGAAGTCTGACATGTACTGGAGCACCTGCTGATGAATCAACTCAGGTGAAAGTGCTAACTTAACTGCCAAAACTCAAAAGCTTCACTGATAATCGAGTACACAAGCAACCGAATTTCACGTTAACAAGCTCCCCTTGTCATCATCACACAGCAGGTACCGAAATTAAAGAAAAAAGTGAGGAAAAGCATCACATGATGAAATCAAGGAACTGTGCATAACATTCACCTTCCAAGTTTCCCCCGTCGCCGCGAGAAACCAAACATATTCAGGACTTGCACGGTCTCTCCAGTTGCCCGTTCAGTTCAGAACCGAGAACCGAACCGCTGGGCAGGACATGAGCCTATGTCTGCTGCAAACAAGTCAAGTCAACGCAATAATCATTTGGGAAGAAGGTACAGGGGGTTGGTGGAGAGATGGAATCATGGCGGAAAACAAGGGACTGAGAGAGACCAAGAAGCGCGGACAAATGACAAATCCAGGAACAAAATTTCGTCCCCAAAGTGCCACCGCCATCTAGTGGCTTGGACATTGGAGGAAGAACAAGAAACCGCAAAGGGGAAGAAATGCTCAATCATGAGGACATGGGCTAAAACAATCGAGGAAAAAAAATGAAGATCTTATTTGAGAGGAAGCGACGCATTTTTGCGTTGTTTTGGATTCAAGAAGCAGCATTCCCAACAAGACAAAATCCCAGGCGTGCAGTAGAAAGAATTCAGAGAAAATGGTGGCTCTTTTTCCCCCTTACTTATGAAACGGTTCCCAAGAAATTCGCATCCGAAACCATCAGAAACGCCGAGAGAAACTAGAAAGAAATCAAGAACGATCCTGCCAGCGAGGAAGAGGAGCAAGCACTACGACCTCTTGGAGTCTTGGGCTGGGTTGGTGGTATGGAGCAGGGCCGAGCAGCAGGAGCACGGCACGGGGGCAGGGCAGATGAGCCGCAGCAAGAATCTGCAGCGAAAACGACGGATGCCACGCCTTCTTCACCTATCAGGATTCAGCGCTGCCCCGCGACGACTGGCAACGGCGGCGTTGTCCGAGGTGTGAGAGAAGAGAAGCACCTGCTCTCCAGCTGTGTGATGTGTCTGTGTGCGTGGGAGGGAGGGAGAGAGAGAGAGAGAGAGAGGACAGAGGGTGGATGGCTGGATGCAGAAAGGTCGTGTGATCTGCAACTGCAGCAGCGGCGGCGGCAGCAGGCAGCCTTTTCGTCCTCTTTGGCCCCGGGATGATTCACACCAAGCTTGTCAGCCGGTACTCTACTGTTTTACTCCAGTCATCGTCCCATACGGACCACGGAGGAATCAATGCATTTTCAACTCCTCTCGTTTATTGATTGCACTCAATGTCACCAATAAATTATTCTTTTAAATAGTCTTACGAGCCTTGTAACGAACAATAGCTTTCTCTCACAATAAATCAGCGAATAGTACTTTCAGCTATGATTTTTCAGCAAAACGAACATGATCATAAATAATAATATATATACATATCATTTATAATTAAAAAAAGTTTCACAAGAACTGCTTCAGTTCATTTGCATTTTGGTAAATATTTTGAAAACAGGGGACCATCAGAAGACCTAAACCTAAAATGAATCTCCAACATAATATCTATAGCCTCTAATAGAGTACCTATATGAAAGATTTATTTTGGATGTGAAGAGAGGTATAACCTAAATTTAAGTATTCCCTCTCCTAGAGACCCATTTACAAAAATGGTTTTTTTTGGATCTTGTTACTGGAGAAGACAAAAATATGTATTGAACCATTTACCTGTAGCGCTATTAAACGTGAAATATGTCTTGTATTTTGGGTAGCTGCTGATGGAGACGGTCTTAATTCTTGTTTAAATTTCAGTGAACTTCCTACGTTTGCATATGTATATGTAAGGATATGTTGTGGTCCATGACTCCACGTTAGTTTACCTTATCGTCTTCTTGACACTTGTATACAGGTCCAGGTCCTAATCCTAATAAGTACAGTTAATGGTCCATTTCTCAGTCATTTTAAGCACATTTTGCACACGATAATCTTGTTTATCTGGACCTTTTTGGGGTCCCCTGTGTGGTTGTCAGTCGGTTGTTTGCGATGGAGACGAGAGTGGGAACGGCGTTTTCAGTGAGCATCATGACTGTAGCGTTCCAGCAGCGGCCACAATCAATCCTCAATGACTACACGCACGCACAGTCATGCCAACCGTATGCGTACGCTTCGGGATCTTCTGCCGGGGTCCGGGGACCATTGTAATTGTTACTACCTTTAGAAAGATCATTGCTAAATCAACTTCAGTTCACACAAATTAGTACTACCTCCATAAAAAAAGAAATGCAGTATAACATTTGGATCGAGTCAAACTTTTACTAAAATTATAGAAAATATTACTAACATTTATGACTCCAAACACATATAATAATATTAAAATATATTCTATGATTAATCTAATGATTCTAATTCAATATCATAAATGTTATGATCTTTTTAGATTTGGTTAAAATCTAAATAGTTTGACTCTTTAAAAAATAGGAATTATGTTTTGTTTAACAAAGGGAGTAGTATTTACGAAAATGACCTCAATGGCCTCCATTAGTACTATGTTCTTTTTTTAAACTACTATGATTAATGCTAATTGTTCGATGGCCAAAAATCATATCGTATTACTAATCACCTTCAAACATATAGGAGTTGAAGAAGATTGGATGGATATGGAGTTAGTTGAGGGATGAGTTTATGGGGTGAGTGGTTAGTAAATAAAATGCAAGATGAATAGTTAAAAGGGTGATTCGGCAACTCCCAACACTGGTTTCCATCGGTATTTGTTACCTCTCCATGTCACCATTTTGATGACGTGGAAGGAGAGTAAATTAAGAAAGAGATGCAAAACACAATAAATCGTTTCTCACATGAGAAAATATATTGGGTTGACATCCACCAACGGAGAAACTAGCGATTGGGTGTTGAGGAAGAGGGTGGCTTGCATGCCATGGTGCCAAGGCTTTTGCATGTCCTAACACCGTTTCCCCATGACGGTCGTCTTGCTCGACGCTTGCAGGCAACACTCACCATGCTGCATGCCATGACCGATCTTTGCCTTATAGCCTAGCCCCACAACCTTGGACCCACTCCCCTCAAGAGAACCATTGCTCTAACCAGTGCAGGTTAGGAAATGAGCAATGGGCTCTCATACCAATTGTAAGGACCGAATGGCCCCAAGAGTGGGGTCTTGATTTTGGACTCTAAACATTACCGCGACAAACCTTAGCCTATGCATAACTATCATTCCCCACTTGCAGTTCTTGCCTAAGAACTAAAAGATTCACACTAACACCAAGTCCTTAGGGAAATCACACTAAACATGTCTTTAGCAAAGGGCACACTATGAGATAGTCCTTTGTTGCGAAATTAAGCCCCACACACTAGTAGGTAATCCTAGTTGTCACACAAACTAGCAGCACTAACCACTAACATAAAGTAAGTAATGCAAGACATAAATGAAGCAAAGAGACAATTAGATTTATCACATGGAATTGGTTGCCAAAACACAACCCTGGTCCATGTTGGAGCTCTACCAGGGTATGCTCTTGGAAACCATGTATCTCCTGATCACAGTGTTTGCTACCGACTAAAGGCAATGGAGTCATAGAGTCTCCCTATGCCACTCGACTATTCTGAACTCATTGATGGATTCACCCAACCAAAGACAGTGTCACGAGTCACACAGTCTCTCCATTAACACCATTGTCACCAAATTTGATCAAACCCTCTATAGTGATTCTTCGTAAGACTTGGTTCGGGTTCGTGAGAGGGATAAGATTTGGAAGGGTAATTAAGTTTCACCTTCCCCCTTTAAGCTTTGGAGACTTTGTCAAGATAGTGGTTCATCTTTGTTACTCTTGGAGGTTTGGGATTCTAGATGGCTAAGCATCTCTCGTGAAACTCCCAAGCTGTGTGGTGTAGCTTCAGGAAGTTTGTATTATCCACATGTTTAGAGGAATTTTATTAAGTGACCCAAGCCTCATCTTTATGGTTGATTGGGGAGGATAACTCTTTGTTAGCACCTCATTGGAGACTGTAACACCCTCGGTGTTACGCCCTAAACAAACTACTAAATCATGTCATGAGCATCATGTTTATGTGATAATGTATGTGATGGAATGTGTAGATAACATTTTTGTAACTTTAGATGATCAATAAAAATGTTAAATGATAAGCGATTCCATAGCTCATATGTATCAAGTAGGGTTTAAAACTAATTTTTATTGAACAAAAATGCTATAGAACATATATGTGGCGCTAAATAAAGTTTGGAACATGAACTTTGTAGATGACAATGAAATACTTGCCGTGGAAAAATAACAGTGCTAGCCAACATTTCTAATAGCCTAGAAATGCAATTCAGAATCAAGTTTAGCTCAAAAATTTAGAATATTTTCAAGTATGTTGACAGCGAGACAATACAATGTTTGGCGATTTATTTTGTGAAATCAAGTTAGGAGATGGTGTCGCGTTTTAGCTTGAGTTGGTAGCCTCATATCCCCTCTAGAGCATGGTGAAGATGGTTTAGGTTCCAGAGCAACCGTTTAGTTTTTATAGGCGCTTTAAAATTCATGCAAGACGTGATTTTGGGCTAGTTCACTGGGTGAGCGCGGTCACCACGTCTCGGGGGAGCGACGTCGCCATGCCTGCTCGCTTTGCGTGCACACTACGCTACCATCAAGCGTGTTCGGCTCGACCGCTACAGCACAGCCTGCTCGGCTCTGCCAGCGTGGAGCCGCCCGGCTTGCTTGCTTGCGGTAAGGCGACGCCTTCTGCAGCCGACCTCACCGCCGCCGCCACACCACCGATCCGCCCGCGCCCGCGACGCCTTGTTCTTCGGTGCCATCGTCTCGCCGTCATGTCATGTCCTCCTCCCTCGCACCTCTCTGCATCATTGTCGACCCTAGTTCGATGCCGCCCGCCACCGCCACGCCAAGCACGTGGTTGAGCTTCATCATCGCCTTGTCATTTATAGCCTTTGCCATGCGGTCGTGGACGCACGCGTGCTTATGCATTGCGTCTGCGCATCGTCGCCGCACCTAGATCACGCCGCCACGCCCCGCCAAGCGAGGGGCGAAGAAACCCACTTGCTGCCTCGTCTCTCTTTCTCCTCCTCTGTTGCCGCCGTCGAGCCACGCCATCCAATTGGCCACCGAGTGATCACTTCCTTTTAATTCAGCATGTCTACGGCTTCATCATCAAGTCCTCTCGCTGCCTGACCCCACCCAGCCTTGAACCATGCACGGCCAAGCTCCAATTTGGAACTTTCCCCACCACCGTGCCGATAAGGCCACGCTCGGCCATGGCCGAGGGCAGCCCTCCATCACTTCACCCGAGCCAATTCTTGTGCACCACTAGATTCGCCTTCATCCCCTCTTCGCCCTATGCTCCATAGCCAAACCTTTACCGCCTCCCTATCGTTGCTGACGCGACCGTGCCACCGCGGTGCGCCGCCGCACGTCTCAGCCGCACGTGGCCACACCTCCTCCACCATCCTCCACCCCAACCGTCACCTTGGCTAGGTCCATGGTAGTCTACTGATGCTCCCTCGCTAGCCAGCTAGGTTCTTAGGTGCTCTGGTTCACCGAGGTAGCCGCGCCATCATCCTGCCGCCTCGCGTTGCTGCTTGGTGTAGGCAATTGGACCGTAGTCAAAGGTTGGCTTGACCGATGGGCCAACGCGAGCCTCTGGTGGCCGATGCGGTCGTGTTGTGTCGCCGTCCATGGCGCCGCAGCGCAATGT